GGGAAGAAACTCTGGGTGTTCTCGAGAGTCCGGTGCAAACGCCTCTGACAGCAGAATGGCCTTATACAGATCGAAGAGCTTCTTGAAATCTTTCTGAACTTGCTTAATTTTAACCGATGTTTGGATTGCGACTGCCTGTTCGCCACCCGCTTCGACTTGAGCGCGCGCGGACTTGATGAGGCTGGAGTATTTCTGAAGGGTATAGTAGACGATGGCCTTGTTCTTGTATTGCTCGTCTCTGCAGACGACTCGTGAGTTGGGCAATGCCTCGTTCAACGCGAGTTCCAGTGTTTCGACAGTCGTCCGGTTCCAAGCAATCTTCATGGTTCGCGTACCACGATTCCAAACTTGATGGGGAGCTAGTGGTGGGATGAGTATAAAGTCGCCCGCCCGTTGCTCCACAACATAAGTCTGGAATGGGGCCTTTTTCCAAGCGATGAGCTGCGCGAAATGGTTCTCCACTTCTATGTCGTGGCCTAGTACCGAAAGCCAGTATTCCGAGACAACATGACGGTCCTTGCTCTCTGTCATGAACCAGATGGACGAACCAGGACGCTCCTGCTTGCCGTCTTCGCTGATGTTGCCTGATGCGTTGACCATGATGTTCTGACCAAGTGAAGCGCACATCTCTCGATGGGACGGGGTGTAGGTGCCTTCGTGACCGATATAGCACATGAGGTTTTCCGCGCGCATCTCAGGTGGCAGACTGCTCATAAGATCTCCGGCGCGTCCAATTCCGCGTCCTTTGCGACCACCAGGCTCGTCCAATGCGCCAGGGCCGCCAGGCTCACCAGTGCTCTCGTTGAGGTAGAACAGAACCGAGGGAATGTGCTCCTTCAGTTTGTCATGCCATACTTGAGGACAGTCGATATCCTTGAGGTAGATGCGCTGCCTCGCCTTATCGCGGTACGCGTCGTCTGGGCCGTCGAAGAATTGCTCGGTAAGCTTCGTCATATGCTTGAGATAGTGCTTCATGGTCAGAGGTATGTTCTCCTTGGTCGAGAGATTGCGCGCATTCTCGACTGTCTCGCTGTTAGCTATGCGCGCCGAGTATGGCCCTAAATTGCGCTTACCTTTATCGCCATGGTTGTCGCGCAGCCACGAAGGTGTAAAGGTCCAGGGATCTAGAACCTCCTCGAAACCGTCGATTACAAGAGGCTTGCCGCCTATTATGACGTGCAGCATGACCAACTTCTCAAAGGCTTCGATGCCATTGTTGGCGATCATCTCGTAGGAAATGCGGTCGACATATTGGAAATTGTCCGCGGTCTCCACAAAGGTGCGCACATCGAAATCGGGCGGGATAGGCTCAAAGGAGGCCCGGGGGCGCGCGGCCGGCATGGTCGTGACCTATGACTACCATCAAGAAGTCGCGTTCGTGGTGTGGGGTTGCGAGCAGGAGGCACCTTCGCGGCGTCGTCGCAGTCGTAAGTAGGCGAGAGCGCAGCAAGTGAGCGTGGGCGCGCAGTCGTGGTCGCTGGCGGCGCGAGGGCTGCAGAAAGTGTAAGTTGTAGTTGATTTGGCGGCGGCAAGGTGAGCTTTCGGGATGTGGACGCGACCGAGGAAACGGCGTTCTGAGCCGTCACGTGCCGTCGAGAGTTAGCGCGAACCCATGGTTCAGCTTTCACGTTCCCCACTCACTCACCGTCCCGATTCGGCGCTGGACGGCAGTGACCGAAGTGCCTTTCCCAATTGGTGTTCTAGTCACTCACATCGTCTTCGACATGTTCAGCATAGCACGTTGAAATCGAGACCCTGCATACCAGTCCAACAAACAGAAGGAGTAGCGCGCATGCCTTTACATGTGAAATTGCAAACACTCCTGACCGTCTAAACATCTAAAAGCCGAGTATGGCTCTCCTACGACTTTATGCAGCGCGGGCTGCGCCGGTGTGTCGGCAATACACTCGAAGTTCCTCCACATTACAATCCGCTTGCAGACGAGGACGACTATCAACACCTCTGTCACTCTCGAGCTATCGTCCGCAAACCACCCAGCTCATCAAGTCAATACGACGAAACTCGACAAACTTGCAGTCAGGAGTAGCGGCAGCGACAACACTACAAGATGGACCATCAAAACCACTTCCCGATTACAAGCCACCAACCACCGGCTTCCTGTCATATCTTCCTCAGAAAGCTGTTCCGTACGGCGAGCTGATGAGACTGGACAAACCGGCCGGCACATACTACCTCTTCTTTCCTTGCATGTTCAGCACACTTCTCGCTGCAACCATGGCCACACCTCTCGCTGCACCATCCGCAGTCATCGGCACAACAGCCCTCTTCTTCACAGGAGCTCTCGTAATGAGAGGCGCCGGATGCACGATCAACGACCTCTGGGACCGTAACCTCGATCCACACGTCGAACGGACGCGATTACGTCCCATAGCTAGACGAGCAATCACACCCCAGCAGGCTATTGTCTTCCTTGGAGGACAGCTTACGACCGGTTTGGCCGTTCTTCTCTCGCTCCCATTCGAATGCTTCTGGTACGCAACGCCGTCACTTGTTTTCGTTACGCTCTACCCTTTGGCGAAACGGGTAACATACTATCCTCAGTTTGTTCTCGGTCTTACGTTCTCTTGGGGAGCGATGATGGGCTTCCCTGCGCTGGGTGTCGATCTGCTGGCGAATCAAGCCGCGCTCACAGCGGCGGCTTGTCTTTACGCTAGTAACGTTGCGTGGACTGTTCTTTACGACATGATCTATGCGCATATGGATATCAAAGATGATGTCAAAGCTGGTATCAAGAGTATTGCACTCAAGCATGAGAAGGAGACCAAGATGGTGTTGTCTGGTTTGGCCGTTGTTCAGCTCGGCCTGTTATCCGCTACTGGAGTCGCAGCAGGCTTAGGACCGGTCTACTTTGTCGGTTCAGTCGGGGGAGCAGCAGTCACCCTAGGAACGATGATCCGACGAGTGAAGCTAAAGGAAGTCAAGAACTGCTGGTGGTGGTTCGTGAATGGTGCATGGTTTACTGGCGGTGCGATCAGTCTGGGTCTCGCTGGAGAATATTTCGCACACCTTCTTGGTTGGTATGGCGATGTAGAAGAGGAGAAGAGCTCTATTGCTATCTGAGACTACATTGTCCATGGTGCAATGGGAAGATGTCTGTCTTGCAAAGGACAAGCCCAGGTGATTCGAAAAGTACACTTGTACATTGATGATATCATACAGATTTCCATACACCAATACCATCTACGGTGTACAACGTCAAGACTGTTGATGCGGCGATGCGTCTGAAGTGCTACATCGATTCCTACGAACATTGGCCTTCGTCGCCCTTGTTTCCACTTCACACAGGGCTCGAGACGTACATCTAACCAACCGTGTATTATACTGGACTCGTTTCGGTGTTGGTATTGCGAAGGCTATCGTTGGTAATCGAGTTCGTTGCGGCTGATGATTCTGGACCTAAGTCTGGTGAAGTCGAGGTAGGGATGTGAGTCGAAGCGAAAGCTTGCACTGAAGCAGTGCTGTTCGAGTCTTGGAGTCCTTCCTCGAGTTCGTATGCTGATAATATCATTAGTGACTGCATACAACATGCGCCAAACTCGCCAATCACGGCCACATACGTTCAATAGATCGATTCGTGAAACGCCGATACAGGACAAATCCAAGGGAGTCTCGATAATGTAGACCAAACAACGCAACAACGACACTAAAGATGGCGGCGACACCAAACAAGATCTGGAGTGCAGCATCGGCAGCGCCGTTACTGAAAGCTGACATTCCCTTTCAATCTGTGTGTGTGGCAGCGGGTATGTGATTGACTGACTCGGCTGTAAACGATGAGAACAAATGGGCCTTGACAAAAGGTACTAAGATAGGCAGTGTATTCTAACTTATTGAACTCAGAACTGTTTTGGTGAGACACCAGAGATCACTAATGATGTTAAGAAGAGAGGATTAGTGTGAAGACCGTAAGGCCCAGCTTTGGAATTTTTGTGTATGCTTCCTGGTGGCTACCGCAAGCCAAGCATATATGCCCCAATCGAGTATAGGCTCAGGACCGAATGGTTCCTTGTCATTGGTCACGGCGGCCTCTGTACAAAAACCCGCTGCGTGGAGGCTGGGCCAAGCAGCCTGCATTTCCAGATTGCGTATAGGCTCAGGGCCGGATGGTTCCTCGTCATTGGTTACAGCGACTTTATGTACTCCCAGTTAAGGCAGTGCAAACAGCCTACGTAGACGGCCACGTGCGATCATGCCCGACGAGGCTGCTATCACCATGTCTATAGAACCCAAATCCACCTTGTGTTTAGGTCAGCCACGTTGATTCTTTCCTACATCTAGTGTAGAAGTCTCTGTTGAGAAGAGTTCAAGTATCGCCCAGGAAGTTTAGTACTTGATGATGTTATGGTCTCGCAATTCCAGCTGTTAGAAAGCCGATTGAGACATCAGACCGTCTCGATAGGCAGCGACTTTAGCAGTATCAATTCGGCGGACACAGCGACCATGATTACTTTCAAGGATAATATCATGTGAAGATTGCAGAGTATTATTATAGAGCGATTTACATACATACACGTACATAGGGGGTGTAACGTCTGGTAAATCTTTGGATCCTTTCACAATACTACCTAGGTAGTGACGCAGCCAAATTCAGGTGCTTCGGAGGCCTTGGAGCTGGCATGATCACTTATCTAGCGTTTCAAGCACCAAGTAACCACCTGGGCAGTTCGAGTCATCGTAGGCTGGATATTTAGATGGTGCAAAATGGTTGTAAAAAGTGGTAAAGTAGTTGTTCGGGATCGTCATAGCAGAGGAGCGTCGCGATCTCCAGTCCAGGTGTCCCTGCCAAGCCGGGGTTCTGCCACTTGGGCCCGCCCAGTGACAGCATAGCTCCCCAACTTCCACCTCCAGCTGCGCAACATCCCCGCAAGCTTCCGCTACGTTTCTGTCTTACCTGCGAAGTTACCTGCTCTTGTTTCATATATCCCCGAGCTATTACCCAGTGTAGTTTGCGCGCATAACGACACAGCTGCGCCGCTGCAATGGCTTCGCGACTGGTGCTGGTCCTAGGCGACCTCTTCATACCAGACCGAGCTTCAGTATGTCACCACAGCGAATCTTCACGATGCTAGACCTCACAAACTTACAGGCTACATAGGACATACCAGCAAAGGTACGCTTTACCCCACTTCTACCACGTTCACCATCCGTCAATACCCACTACAACCGCACCCCGTCTCTCGTAGACCCACACGCGCATGCGCTTACACGACGATATAGTTCAAGAAACTCCTCGCACCCGGAAAGATCGGCCAAATTCTGTGTCTAGGCAACATAACGGATCGCGAAACGTACGAGTTCCTGCGCGCTATTGCACCGGACCTACAGATTGTAAAAGGCGACTTCGACGTGGAAGCGCCTAATCTCGCCTTATCGAAAGTCGTCACACATGGTAGTCTGCGCATAGGCTTTACACATGGCCACACCATCATACCACCCGGCGACGGCGACAGTCTGCTGATAGCAGCACGGCAGATGGACGTCGATGTCTTGCTATGGGGCGGCACACACAAGTTTGAGGCGTATGAGATGGAAGGCAAGTTCTTTGTCAACCCTGGAAGTGCGACAGGTGCTATGAGCACGGGGTGGTGGACAGAGGACGAGGATCCCACGCCGAGTTTTGTGTTGATGGATGTGAGTTTACCCAGGTGTTACACAAGGAACAGCAAACAGCAGCAGGGTGGAGAGCATATCAGGGCTAACATGAACCTAGGTTCAAGGCGATGTCCTCGTACTCTACGTTTACCAACTCCGCAAAGACGCCGAAGGCAACGAAAATGTCGCAGTGGAGAAAGTCTCGTTCCGGAAAAACGGCGGCGGCGCATCATAGACCAAGGGTGTTACAAACAGCGGTTGTCGACGGCTCAAGGCCGGAAGGGCGCATCAACAGAGCGGTTGTGCAAACACCTAGCATGCTTGTGCATGCGTTCACAACGAGGAATAGAAGCAGTACACAACATATACGCAATTGCACATGGACCCCCTCTAGCAACCAGCGCCGATCCAGTTGGCGTCGGACTTGATTCCGCTGTAGCACCGCCTATATACCAAGGATGTCGTGTAATAAACCCCATTCATGTACATGCTATCCGTTACGGCTAGCCACACTCCATACTTGTCCGCGCAGATCCCACAACGAAAAAGAGACCCGCAATCATGCATGCATGTCTTTCAGGCATATTCCGTGTTCTCCCTACATATGACCATGCCATGCTGTACAACCCCTGAGAAGCCATGCAAGCAGATGATGAGCACCCGAACCCCCGATTTCTTGCTCACCTGAGACTCATGTCATCATGTCGTCGTTGCCGCTGCTACTCCGCTTTTTTCCTCTTTTCACGTCGTGGCTTACCCCACATTTTTGTATTCCCGTGGCATATCACTTACTGTCCGGTGAGGCTGTTTTAGAGGTTCTGTGTAGCGGTACACGGCGCTTTTCAAACTTTGGAGTCTGACACCCGAAGCCGAACCTGAATTTTGAGGCTGGACGGTCATGTTCGTCCCGAGCGACATGTCGGTTCAATCGGGTAGCCGATGTCATCGTGCCGGTGTGGTGCGGGCATGGCATGACGGTACCCGAAACCCCACGCAATCGGTACTGTGGAGCTTGTACATGAAACATTGAGACATTACCTTGTAGCGTGATTTATAGTGTGTCTTTGTTTGACAGCGTGACTTTCGCGGTATAGCTTCGGAGAGTAGTATGGCGTGACATACCTACCCTGAATGTACAATAGCTTGTGATCTGATGTATGTCGATTACTAGTCCCATCTATAGGTAGCCTCTGGTATACCATCATGATGCAGTATACCACCACACCGAAACTGACCTAGAGACATTCGCTCGATTTCCAGTGTACATCGACTTTGGTTCAACCATAATGTTGTATTGTAGTCTTGCATACAACTCCCTTCGACCCAACATCTCCATCTTCACCATCAGCTCAACCATCCCTCTTCTTCAAGACCTCCATGACCGCTCTACCCACCTCCTCAAACAACCCAGGCATACAAGCAATCATACCCCAGTTCCTCTCTCCCGTAATCTTTCTTCCATTCGCAAAATCAATCTGTTCACCTTTGAAGTCGCTGATAACGCCGCCCGCTTCCTGGAAAAGAAGGTGCCCACCAGCGTGATCCCAGATATACGTAAAGCGGTCTTTAGTCTTGGGAATGCGCACCATGACGTCCGCAGCTCCAAGGGTAAGAGCGACATATTTCATCTGCTGAGACCAGAGAATGGTGCCTGGCCATTGCGCACCGAGAGTGGTAGCAACGGCGTTGTGTTCGGGCTGGGACAGAGATGTTTTGCCTAGTGTTGCTTCGACAAAGTTTAGTTCTGAGGTTTTCTTTTGGGGAAGCGTGGTTCGGTCTACGTGGCGGGGTTCTCCGAATCCAGCGGAAAGGGAACTGTTCATAGACCGGATAAAGGTGCCTTGTCCCTTGACGGCGGAGAGTATGACGCCAAAGCCGTCTTTGTCGACTTGGTCCTCGTGGATCGCTGTTTGGCCCAGTTCCCCTTGGATGGGGAAGGCGAGGTTGGGACACGCAATGACACCGACTTGCTGTACGCCATCGACTAGCAAACACAGACAAACAGCGTACTGCTGGCCCTGCATAAACGTTGCTGTGCCATCCACGGGGTCCATGACCCATGTTCGGCCTCTTCTGGTGATTTCCCCTTTCCCACCCCTATCGATGAGCTCGAACATCTCTTCTTTACTTTTCGGGAAAGCCAACTCCTCCTTCTGGACAGCGTTTCCGTCCCCCTTCTCGTTCTCGGAGCCACCTGCATGAGTCTCGTCCTTTGCCTGTTGCACGAGCTGCCAGACGCGGTCAGCGAGTGTCTCGTTTTGACGCAATGCATCAGCGCTTTCCTCGCCCAGAAACGCGTCTGTTGGGTACACGGCACGCAGGGCGGATATGAGGAGGGCTTGAGCGGCGAAGTCCGCAATGGTCACGGGACTGTCATCTGCCTTTGTCTCCGCAGACACGTTGTTGGATAGGCTCCGGAGAACGGATTTGGTGAGCAATGACGCCCGGTGTACGGCTTGCAAGGCGAGGCGAAGCTCGGCGGAGTAGGCCATGACGGATATCGGGTGATTTTTGGTCGCGATTGCGTGATGGATGTTGTACTGTAGTTGTCTTCTGGTGAAGATTTCGCAGTATTAGTCTAAATGAGGTGATGAAACAGTTTTGGCAAGCTACTAGCAAGCGCATAGTAAGCGAGGCTAATGGAGCGCTCCACGCGCATTGCCTTTGCAGTACCATGGCTACAAACATGAGGCTCGACGATGTCGCCAACGTCGACAGGCTATAGAGAAGTCTGGAGTCTTCCCCAGGCGGCGCAACACATGCAAGAGTCATTCGTGGCTGAATGTGAACGGCACACAGGACGAGGCTCGAGTCATGCCGCTAGCTCGGTTCCGGTTGATTTGAGAGCACGGAAACCTGGCGGTCCGACCCAAACCTTGATGAAGCAGGTTTGTTCTAGCTCATATCTAGGCGAACTGTACCCCAAGATCGTTGCTGTATTTTAGTTTATAGGCAAGAGCCATCGTCTGTCTTAGAGTTAGACCACAGTTTGGAAATCACGAGTGCGGCGTCGTGCATCACCAGACACATGGAAACTTTGGTAGGTTTGACGGCGCCACTCCGACTCCTCCCGCAAAGGGAGGCCCTTCCAGTACCAGCGACGGGCAACCGCCGGGAAACACACATCGTTGGGAAAAGCCCACTCGCGGTCGACCCGCCAACAAAACGGGCCGATGTCTCGGGAGAGTGCCAAACTCGGGAGATAACCACCAGGTTCAAGCGAGCAACGAGGCGAGGCTGCTCGTTATTGAATCTAGAGTCGGTCGGTGCTCCGTGCCGCGTTCACGATAAATTAATGGCGCCTGTCGTCGAGTTACACAGCGTGTATTCGCCTGCTGCTCGAGAGACGTTGCCTGCTAGATGTGCAGGTCGCGTCTCGCAAGGTCCTTCGAGTGGTCTGGGGCTCTGCATCCCGAAGGTCCCCATAGTGTTGCAGATGTTGGCAATGATGGGGGACAGGTACATGAGACGCACGAATATTGGACAAGCCGCGTCCTGCATCATCTTGCAGCTGGGGCGCGTAAACGATGCACAGCATAGTCATTGGGGAATCGAGTGGTGCTATACTCTAGCATATATGAAGTCTGGATGCCTTCGATGCATTACGTTGTGCTATATGGTTGATCAAAGCTGCTGCTACCTGGGGAGTGCATCGTCGATGCATACTTGTTGAGGATTATGTGCAACGCTGTATTGTTTATTGAGGCTGACAGCCGTTTCGAGGGCAAAGCGATGCAGCGCATGGCCCGCTCCCTGGCAATGTCGCCATCTTTCGCAATCACAATGTGCGTGCGGTTACTGTGGGGAAGGGCATCTTTCACGGGCCACATCTGTTTTTGGGTGCCGCATTGGTCGCGCTGCTGTAATTGCACCCGTGATTGCAGTATCATGAATCGCGCGTCATGGTAAAGGAGGCACACTAGATAAGTTGAATTTCAAGGGACCTCGTTAACCGCGAGGATCTTGCGATAAGGCCCAACCGTTCCTGCAGAAAGCCTGTAAGTATCAAGGAGTTCGCTTGGTGGCTTGTCTAGGGCATGTCGTACAGGAACCTTGGAAAAAGCAGCGTGGGGGCTGTCTCTCTGGCAGGTCATGCAGGCTGCTCGTGTTAGAGCACGTCGGCCAAGTGACTTGCAGCTGGGGGCGGCTTTGTCATTCGTCCGTCTGGACATGGACACTGTGAAGGCTGCAGCCACTTGCAGGACGTATGCTTTGGTAGGAGTGCGGTTGCCTGCACCGAGCGTCTTATCTCGCTTGGTGTGAGCTGGAGAAGCTGGAAGAGTGTTGCTCTGCACACTGCACAGATTGCGCAAGCCATGAGCAGTTAGACGAACAAGCGAACATGCGTTCCTACTACCGTTTGATACTCATTTCGCCTTCGCCGGCCCCCGATGGGGGCAGCAAGCCATGACCATGAGTCCAGGTCGGTCTGCTCCTGACTTTTTGGGGAAAAGAGGCTTGAGGCGCTCAGCAAGAAGCGAAGCGTCAAGGTCCTCCAGGCGCCTGTTTGGACAGCGGATTAGGCATAGAGCCGCGCGGAAATTGAAGAGGAGTTGTGTTGAGGAATTGTGAAAGGGCTCAGCAGGCGGCAGTTCTGAGGGTGGTGTGTCGTGCATAGTGTTGAAGATCGCCGCTGCAACCCGTAGCCGTTCTCCCGTATGTGGACGAGAGTGGTTTGCAGGCCAAAGATAACGTCTTGGATCAAGGCTGTTCGTGATTAGGCATGCGGGTGCAAGACGAGACTAGTCAAGACGAGGTGGGTGCGGTTTCTGTCCGTCGCCACGAGGATCAGTATGGTTCCTCAGCACTCCGTGTGCCAGATGGACGGCTTACGGAAGGCGGCTGGCTTGGAGGAAGAATTTGACTTGGTGCAGGGCTGAGGGTGAGACAAAAAGCTAGCGCGTGCAAATAATGGCTCTGGGGAGGCGTGTGTTATCACCGAAGATAGCGAAAAGCGGGCCTAACGCTGGGGCAGGCGATTCGGCTATGGTCGTGGATGGCAGCATGGGATTGGAGAGGGATGGGAGAGGGACATGGGAGGGCGCTCATGACTGCTGAAACCGATAACTGGCCCGCCGCCATATGGCTGCAAGAGGAAGCCTCGTACCTAGATTTGCACGTCAGTCATCTGCGCGTCCGGCGCAGGGCCGGGCAGATGACTAGCGAGGGGATTCCGTCATGGAGCGACGTTTTCGCGTCGCGCTGCTATCACGCAACTCGGGCGGAGGTGGAGGG